ATACAGCTCCCCCCCAAAAAAAAAAAAAAAAAAAAAAAAAAAAAAAAAAAAAAGAGAGAGAAATGTGTAATGAAAATAAACAGGATTTTTTCTATGCAATGGCTTCCCAGCTCTTCTGCAGCTTTCAGAATCAACGACATTATGCCTCATATAGCAGATTTGCATCCACAAAAGGTCATTTTCTGTTGAGTAACTGCATTTGTATACAAAGAGGCCATTTCAACCTTGTTCCTTCAGTTTTTGCTGTGATCAATATCACAGTCTAGACCTGGATGACTGCAGAATCTGATTGCAGCTTAATTTCCCATAAGAGTAGCTAGATCTGCTGATACAGCTTGAATATGCAGCACTCTGAATAAGCAGGCTGAGCGACAAATGTCCTCATACCATATTGGGAAGCCCAATTAGCACAGCAGACTGTGTCTTACTGTGTTATTTTTCTCCCCATTGCATTTTGAAAGGATTAAGCTCTGGAACAGTCATTGCCAAGTAAAGAAAAATAACACTGGAGTCCATCACTAAATAATTAATTGTAAGGAAACTACAGAGGTGCTTGCATTTTCTTATGTTTCTCAGTTTGTGTAAGCCTGCATGTTCACACAGAAGTTGGCAGGTTTGCCTTAAATACTTGAGGATAAACAGGCAGTATGTAAAAAACTTATTGACCACTAAGGGCTTTAACCTAATTCTTCACTGGATTTAACTGGAGCAGTGGAAAGAATTACCTTCCCTACTGATCCTTGTCATATCCTCTGTCAGATGGCACTCTCCCCACAGTGTTTTTGGAGGTACATCTGACCTATGAAGTTTGCTGCCTGCAGTCAAAGAGCTCTGATGAGAACAGCAAGCTCATTATTAGGTTTGACTGCATGCACTGGCTAATGGGGATGGGTATTTTCTGGATATCATCTACTTTCTTTAATGCCAACCATACCCCTGTCTGAGCTGTTTGAGAACTGTCTTCTGAAAGGCTTTATTCTAAAGCTCAGTTTTGTAGGACAAGCCTGAATCAACACCAGCTGACTTTAAAATGTTGGAATGTAATTTTCATTTTTTAAAAAACAATTCATGTTTAGATCTGTCCTTGTCGCACAGATGCCAACTCTAGTAGAGATGCAGAAGGAAAAACCTGTGAAAAGTGATTGCATCTCCTGTTAAAGTTTAAGCTGCTGGTATAAGTAAGTCAATACATTTAGGTTTCCAGAGACAGTTCTTGGTCTGGTTTTCTAGATGAAGTCAGCTTTTTTCTGCAAAGATGTTGCACTGAGCTTTTATTTTATTTTATTTTATTTTTTTCTTCCCTGAAGACGAGGGTATCAGAAGGCTCTTTTCCCTGGAGAAACAGCCAGAAAGAGAAGATGAGTAGAAAAGTGTGCCAAGAGACATGCTCAGATGACTCACCTCAGTTCCTCAGTTAGGCAATGCCTAACTTCCCATCAGCTACAAATAGGAACCAAAGTAATGTCAGGACACATTCACCCAGCAGATTGGGCTGTACAGTGTATTCCACCATGGGGAGTCTGGGCTGGAATTATTTCTAAATTTTTGTTTTCCCATTCTTTGCCAGCTACCTCCACTGAAAGTAACAAGGAGAAACTTACATACTACATATATATGCATTTTTTATGCTGAGATTTAAATAATTCAAATATGGAGGTGTCAGTAAAACAAAATAAAGAAAGAATGGATGTGGGAAAGAAAGGGAAGTATTGAAGACAAAGGGCTTAGGTACCTTCCAATAAGGGATTGCTCTTACAATGGGCCATTAAAATTTAGCTGAGTCGAGTGTATTGTTTTTAATTTGTATTCCCATAACATACTCTGTTAAGGAGGGTGTATGAAGCAAATGCATATTAATGATGCAACACATTTGCATATTATAGATCCATAATACCAAGGGTGCCATAAAAATCTTTATGAAAAGTGGTGACTATGCAGCAGTCAATTTTCTCTATATCTCAACCATTTTAATGTCTTTTTTTTTTTTTTTTTTTTCACACACACATGCACATATGCACACACACAAAATCCCCACAACTGATAGACATACAACATTAAGGGACTAATGACCTGCAAAGTTCCATTTATAAAAGATAAAAAAATGTTGTATTTATATATAGAATCACGAAATTAACACTTCCTCTGGCAGATTTACAGTTCTTTGTTCCTTTGTTCTAAATTTTTTAAACCAACAACCTGCAGAATTATATTGTTTTTAAATATATATATTGAGCCCCACCAAGATTTAGTCCCAGCAGAATACTGTCATGAGTTTCATGTTTAGAATATTTTGTATGGCTAAGGTCTTACAACTTAACTATTTCTAGTGAAAACACTGACCCACCTGGGCTAGCTATGTATTGTCACTGGTTCTTAACTGAATAAAAATATGTTAGTGGTTATCTTAACATATTTGTACATATATGAACCCTCATGTCATGCAAATAACTCTCATGTCTCTTGGTCTAAATGCATACTTAAAATCTCTCTCAGAGTAGATCATGCGATCATGCTCTGTACAAAATGTGTCTGATTTGCTTCCCATCAGTGCAACCTTATACTCACTAATGCTTTTACTAGTTCAAGTGGACTTAGAAATGTGACAAAGCAGAGGAATGAGCTGACCAGTTATACCTAGATATGAGCAGGAGTCTTCAGTGCCATGTGTCAGTCTTGGTGAGGGAAAACTTCCTGATGTAGGAGATAAGGTTGTGGCCCAGTTTCCTCCTGGCTTTGTTGCTCCGTGAAATTGCTTTGTATGCCACTGCTAACGTTTATAGTCATGTGAAAAGGCTAAGGCTAGGGCCAAGCAAAGATTTCTCCTTCTATTTGGAAGAGTTCCTATGCTCTGAGAAACAGAACTACTTTTAGCTTTTTCTATTTTGAGGAAAATAAATGAAAAAAAAAGAGAGAAAGGTGAACTCTCAGTTCATGGTGACCAAATCATGAGTGGATTTGGGCAGGTTTGGCTGATATCAAAAAATTTCTGGCTCAGAGGGCCCTACGTAATTTTAACCATCAGTCTATTTCTTATAAAGACAGTGATGGAATGAGAATTAATTAATGCTGTGGTTAATATGTGACCTGCATATGAAATATTTGATAACTCACTCCATTCCATCATCTCTTCCCTAAAGAAGTTGCTACTAATAGATCAGAGCAAAGCAAGGGAGCAGTGGCTTTCAGGTCCCCTAGTGCCTGTTGATCCTTCTCATCAAAGTTTTCTATGTGGTTTCTGCCCTTGCTTTTTCCATGGTACAGCAGGTACATCACAGGTACAGCTGTTGTGCATTTTGCAGCCTCCAGACCAAAGGTGTAATCTGTCTTCCACAGACATTCACAGGTCTTGTCACTGACTGAAGCGTATACCTTAATTTATAAAAAACAATCTTTAAGAGCCCAAAAAGACTAAAGTAATGTAATATCATCTTTGGACCTGCTTAATAGCTTTATATTCTCAATGACACTTCTTTTAAGGACTGCAAAACAATTTTTCATTCTGTAGACACTGTCTGACTTCAGGAATAAAATCTATATTTTCAGGTTATGCACAAATCTTCATCTCTTGGGGATCTAAGGGATAAGAAAAGTGGAACACTAAAGGGTAAAAACAGTGAGGATCTAAATTCTATATATATTTTTCTCCCCTATTCTGCAATATTTTTTGCATAAGTACGTAAGTATACAAAATTCAGAGAAGTTTTGCCCTTGGATCTTCAGTGCTGAAAGACAAGGAATGGTGAAGTACCTGTTATGTGTCCTGTCTTGTCTATTTGTCCAAAAGATGAGGAGATCAAAAAGCAAATAATGGACATGTAGTTCAGGTGAGAAGGTGGAACATATCCCCTGTCTCCTGTAAGCCTGCAAGCAGTTCTCCATGACTGTCCATTCCTTGAGATGCCTGCAGGTATATTCATCTTACTATAGAAATATCAGGACCTGGCTGCTGGGTCAGCAAATTACATACATCCATCTGTCTTAACCCTTGTAATGAGGTTTATGTGAAGGGTAAAGTTTAAAAGCTGGGGCAGAGACCATGAACTCATCTGAAAATATATGGCCTTATATCCACATGAAGTGATGGCTGCAACAACAAAATTCCCGTAGGTTTAAAATGTATCCCAGCTATATTGCTATTTTCCCTCAAACCAAATTTCTCCATTGCTCTACTCCAACTGATTTTGTGAGTGAAACTAAATGGGACAGAATAGATATAAATGTTATAAATGTCCAAAAAATAAATAAAAAAATGGGGAAAATGGGTATAATTTTTAGGGAAATTACTTTAAGTAGATATAAAATGTATTAGCCTTCCTAACAGCACAGTTAAGGTACATGCTTACATACTGATTCAGTATGTTAAAACATCCTTACATCCTAACCCAGTTAAAAAAAAAAAAAAAAAAAAAAAAGAAAAAAAAAAAAGTCCACTTCATGAATAAGATGTGGAAGCAAAAAGAGAGAAATCAAGACTTCGCTATTTCTTCCTCATTCAGTTTAAAGACCCATTGCCCCATCCTAGTCCCTCTAGACCAAAAGGGAGTTTTACCATTGACGTTAATGGGAACAGGATCTGGCCCAGTAACTGGCTGTTTTGGATCTGTTTCTGTCACCCTTGCTGCATTGTTGCTGAGAGTACAGAACATCCTCGCCTTCTGTTTTTCACTCCTTAATGTTTCCTTAGAATACTTAGGCGGAGAGTGACTGTAAATGCTTAACCTTTGTCAATGGCAGACATTCAAGATAGTTTGGCTGCCTCCTTCTATTTCCTTGTGGACACTGATTTAAGAGTCCATCCAAAACATTCAGGAGGATATGACTAACATGAAAATCTGTCACTGTATAAACACAGTGACCAAAACCTATTTGGCAGCACTTTAGATCTGCTGGCTAATAATTAGGTATTTATGTTTGCTTTAACAGCACCAGTTGTGATGATCTAATGTCTTTTAGTATTTATATGGATAGCTCACCAGATTTTTTTTCTTTTTACAGTGATTCAGCATAATTACACGGGAGATAAAGAACATCTAAGGAAAAAAAAAAAAAAAAAAACTTATTTCAGTAACGAATGCAAAATTTCAGTCGGGGCACATTAGCAATGACATGCTGAGCTCACATGAGAAGAACAACGCCTGAATTTACTGGAAACATTGCAGTAAGGGTGAGTGAAGTCATTGAAAACAAATTGCTGTTCCCTTTCTAAATAGGCTTGGGATGGAATAGGGTCCTCTGGGTTGTGACCAGATTTAGCCTTCACAGCCAGTTTGTTTCACAGAAATGCAATACAATCTCTAGGGAAACAAATCTGCAAAAATTGTACACGAGAAGTTTTGGGGAGGAGAGTGATACATGGTTCTAATGCAGTCAGAAATACATTAAAAGCTATAAACAATTTGCTATTGTTTGGGCTGTTTCAGAAGATTGCTTAATCATTTACTGACACGCTTATCACTGCAACAGGTTTTATGTTATTCTGTTCCAACTGTGTCAAAAGTTATGTGAACAACACATATATCAGTCTATAATTCAGGTACATGTTGTTATTCACTATCACAAAAACTATAAAAACTCTGAAACCCTAATGATACCAATCCAAGTACACTTTGATAAGCTTGAAGGGCGTAAGATTTGTGTTAACGTGTACCTCCTACAGACTGTTTTCAGAACATCATAAAGGAGTAGGAAAATTACCTTTGATATACCTGCTACTAAAGAGCTTGTGAAAATGTTTGAGGACAAGACCTTTTTTCTGCCCACTCAATGAAGCAAGAACAGCAGAACAACATTACCTTGTTTGACTGTTTGCAAGAAGCAGAAAAATCTGTACACTTCTCCACACACTCTCCTCAGATCACCCTAGCAGACCTTAGGAGATGACAGAAAGTCAAATAATGTGTTCTGAGAACCATATGAGAGACAAATTCACCCACAAGCTTTCAAAATCTAACAATGGCACAGAGAATTCAGTGCACGGAATTGCCACCATGGAGAGTATTACTGCTGCTTGGTACCTTCAATTCTTCATTATTTTTATCCTTATTGTGGTACTTTGATATGATGAAGAATACATTTCTGTACAGTCTACTTTTAGCTTTACTTGTTTAGGTCTTACCCTCCTACTTCCACTTCCCTTGCAGTTAATTTCCTGTTTTAGCTCATTAATTTCACTCTTATAAACACTTTATCTAGGAAGCTGGAAGTTACTATGAAAGAATCATACAGATTAGGAGTCATCAAATTCATCCTTCCTCTTTTCAGGAGGAGAAAACAAAGAAAGGATGACAGGGAATGAGATGAGAAGCATTACTATGCTATACATGTGACTAATTGTGCCAGCCAAACAAGTGCAGCTGGAAACAGGATATGTTTTGGACAAGTCACTCTCTACAAAATTCTAATCTACTATGAGATTCATTTTTTCAATGAATATTTTTAACTCTGCAAACCCCAGCTTTTGCTTGGCTCACCGGCGACATATATTTGTCTTTGGGACTCTGTTGTCAGTATGTGGATCTCTCTACTTTTGGGAAGTAATGAACTTTGATCTCTGTGGGGAAATTTGATAAGGGTGAGGTGAGGAGAGGAAGAGAGTAGACTTGCATCCTAATGTGAGATATTGTTTGCCCTATAACCTCTCTCTGCCTCTCTTATGGTGGATCTGCTCAAATCACCTTTACCAATGTCAGTTCTTTATTTTCCTGCTCATAGAGATATTAATATGAGACTGCTTCAAAAAGGAAAACATTCTCTACAGCTTCCAGTGCTCTGGAGATGTGATCAACTTGCCAGAGGTATAGACATCTCCAACCTCACACAAAGCAAGAATTTTCAGACTACCTGGTAGATATAGGACGTTTTCCAAGACAGGAATGAAACTGAAGTGTGCTGATATTCTGCATTTACACTGAAATGGCAATGGAAAGCTGCTCACAAAGACCTGCCTTTCATTCTCCAGATGTCCTTCCTAAAGTGATTGCTTTATCTGTTACTCACTTGTTCTTTCCACACCCACCTGTGAGTATTCTTCCTCTCCCACTTGCATGCTGAGTGGTTCCCTGATAATTTAGACAAAGAAGACCACCATTTTCACCAGGCTAGTTAACCTGGTTAGAGAAAGCTGGGGACTTGCTCATGTGAGCCACTGCACTGATAGATCAGATGGGATAGTAATTTCCAGTATGAATGCAGTGATGAATGGCTGTGGAGAGTAAACTTCTCATGGAAAAGCTGGAGCTGAAACAGGATGCGGTACTATGTCCTGAGACAGCCATGCTAGGTAACATAAGCAAATGAGCTGTGTTTACATGATTTCCAGGCACTAAATGAAAAGACTATCCTAAAACCTGCCTCAGTCACCACTAAAAAAAGAGCATGCTGTCCTCTGTTCTGCTATGAAAACACACTTAAACTCAATACATTTTTTTTTTCCATATTACAGATATGTGTATGATTTTCAAGAAAGACAATAGGTGTTATGTGCCCAATTCTGTACTGAAGACTTCCAAACTTTTATTTGAATCCTTCAGCCACTGAATGTGGAATTTGTTATCATATGCCAACTGGTAATGCCAGCTTGATGCATACCATTAGAGAAGTTTGTTTTTCATCTGCTTATCATTTTTCTAATCTTTAACAATTGGTCATTTGATATTCCCTGTTACATGCCTGCATTTTTTTCCCCTAACCAGATAGGGTCAGCTAGCTGCATAAATTAAGTTAGGAAAAAAAATACCAGAAAGAGGTAGTTTGGTTTTTGCTCAAGATTATACATATATATATATACACATACATATATACATATTAACTTATAATATATACATATACATATGTATGAGAAGTGAAATTATTTCTAGAAACACCTGGTACCTTATACTTTGGAGTATGGATTTGAATTTTAGAAGCACTCGGGACTTGCTTCATGGACAGGCTGGCTGTGTGGCTGTGCTCACAAAAATGACCTACATTTGGTCTTCCATGGACTGGTTTACATATCTTCTACAGTGGTATCGTTGATTCTTTTTTGATTCTTTCTTGCAAATCCTCTTTGTTTGTTTGTTTGTTTTTGTTTTTGTTTTTTTTTACTGACTATGACATCCCCCAGGTTGATTTGCTAATGAAATTCATTCAGTGCTATTACAGGTTGTTTTGGCCCTCAATTTGTATGTGGAGAAGGAAGACAGGCTGTTTACTTCTTGATAGGACATTACATAGACCTGGAATAGGGAGAAGACCACAGACAGAAACAGGGTGGATGGAGGAAACTACACTCGGATATAGGGGTGAGAGATCATTTGACCCAATAAAAGAAGAGATGGGCACAGTGACAATGGCAAAAGCAGTCAGTAAAGAAGTAGGAGAGTTGAGAGGGAATGAAGAGGTAGAAAGAAGGCAAAGAGATTGTGACAACGGGGAAAAGATAAGCTCATACTCAGAGCTGGTGGATACACATTTCCCCACCATTTCATATTTAGGGTGAATACAACTATACCCATATAATGTAACTATATAATGAGGTGGGGGAGAAGGGTCTTCTTTCAAAACACCACCAGGACTTGAGGAATGCCCCCTATTACCTGCTTGGTAGAGGAGCTTCCACTAGGGCAAGATGTTGCCAGTGAAAAGTTCATGACTGTTCCTGCACTGAGAGGTAAGTGGATCTGTTGGGGTAAGCAATTGAGACTAAACAGACACAAGAAATGTTACAAGAGAAAATACAGAAAGTTTTACCCTTCAGAAAGGTGTACTCTCTAGAGTACATTCCCCATCAAATCCTAAAGTGGAACCTAGACTTCTTGAGTTTGCTGTCAGCAAACCTCTGTAAAATCGTCTGCAAAAAAAATGTCCAGTTCTCCCTCAGAGCTGTTCACAGACAGGATGACAACCTGCTATTGCTATCATTTTCTCCTTTAAGCCTAGTGACAGAGGTAGATCTCAAGTTTCCAACCTCCAATTGACTTGTGTGGGCATCAGCATTACTCTGTGCAACAGAATGTCTATTTTTTTCCCATTTGATGATTTAAAATGGGGGGAAATGGCATGCTTAGGAACTATGTGAAAATAATACGGGTGTCATTTCAAGGATTTTTTCATTAAAAAAAAAAAAAGTGTTTCATTCATTATATAAAATGGATGCGATCAGGACTATGTAGAAAGAGAGATTTTAAAGAAGGATCTCTACAAGAAATATAGACCAAAGGAATGGGGCACAGATTAAAGAGGAAATGTGTGAAATTTTAGCCACCTGCTATGTTAAGGTGTTTCAAGGAAGCAGAGAGACATGGATATGAAAGAAAAATACACTTTCCATGCTAAAGACGTATACCAATGCACACAGACACATGCACACACCTGTTCCTCCTGTAAGGATTGCACAGCAAAAAAAAATGTCATTTCTCACTGACTCAGGCATTAGCTGTCCCACTCCATGACTGCAGACACAACCCCATCAATTCAGCATTTACTTTATGCTTCGCTCTTCAATGAAGATTTACACTGAAAATCATAATGAAACAAATAGGGACAGATTTCTTTAGCATTATTTGTATAAAATATTGCCAGAGAGACAGAAAAATTACTTTGGTCATGAAATAATGTCTGAGAGTGATTATATCAAAGACATACTAACTTTGTTCTTTCCCTTTGGCGATGTTTTACTAATGTTCCCTTGAAAACCAGTCAGAATTTATATCCCCTATCTGTATGCATGCACACATATTATATTCAATTTCTCAGACTGGCTTTAACCCAAAATCTAATTTTTAAACCTGTAAAATTATGGATACAATTTTGCATCTGCAATTTGTTGGTGTAATTTAGGTCCCTGGAACAGGTAGCAATAGACTCTGCCCTAAATTACCAAGCTGTAATGTACATTAGGTGGTATAATATCTCATTGATGTCATAGAAGGTATCCAATATATTTCAGTAAGCAGAACTTTCCCCCTCCTCTGTATTCTTTGGTACTAAGGAGAAAGAGAAATCTAATGCTTGGTAATAAAACCCCTGTCATGCTACAGTTTCTCTGTCCCAGTCCTCCAACACAGTCAACCATGAAACTGTTGGCACTTGCCCCTTAATATTTCCCATATACATGAAATCTCTTCACAGCATAAGGTAGAGACTTTTCAAGACCTGCATTGTGTTTCTTATTCCCCTAGTAAG